TGGCGTCTATGTGGGAGGCTGAATGAGTGATTTGAGTGGCTGAGTGCATGAATTCATTAGGCGCGACTTCGCATAACTTGTAACCGAATTATAGGTTGCAACAAGAGGGGTAGGGATCGTGAAGGCTCAAGCAATATGTGTTAAGAAGGAAACCAAGCGTCACCTCTGTCAAGTTAGTAAATAATCATATAGAATTTTTCATCAGCTAATTTTAATTTATTTAATTAATTTAATTGAAATTTGCATAGAATATCTGAAATAGGAAAGAACAGACGAGCAGTATTTTTTCTTTAATTCTGTTTTTCAGCATCCTGTTGCAATTAATTATTTAACTTAACGTCCATGTACTTATCGTCTGTCAGTATTGCAACACTTGTTTATTCACCACTTAATCTTAATTTCAGTTTAACATTTTACACTTTGACACAACATGTTTCGACCCCAAACGGCCATTTTCTGGTGACTTGATATGTTACAAATATTTTATTAAATTTTGTTAAAACTGCTACAATCTGTTAGTCCATGTTAAAATCACACGCTGTTGTTCTCTTTTCAAGGCGAAACAAGATAAAATCCATTAATTTCTATGAAACCCGCGTTACTTTTGTGCATTCTATTTCACCTCACAAGGGTTATTGTCCATTTGCTCTTAAATATATGCCTGTCCCAGGTGTTTTGTTTCGGCAGCTAGCCCTTCACGTTCGTAGCCTACTTTTCAGTTATGTCTGCAATATGCCCCTGGTTTGCGTGTTTCCTCCACAGCGTGTGGTATTGTCTTACTAGTGGGTTCGAATCCCTCACAAGGCATGGATGTTTAGTGTTTGTGTGTGTGTGTGTGTGTGTGCTTTTTTCTGTGTTTGTGTACAGGTAGAGGCCTTTCGACGACCTGATCACCCGCCCAAGGAGTCCTACCGAATGTCTAAGATGTAGTAAACCGAAGTGAAACGGAGAGTTCCACGGAGGTAGGCGAAGGCCCAAATTGGGGCTGTAGCTTCAAAGGAAAAAGAAAATTACTTACGTCTTCGGACACACAGAACTCACTAACCAGTGATGTAATGAAAAACGATAATTCGTTTCGCCTAGGTGAATAGACCGTATATCTGTTGAAAATCGAAATGCTTACTCGCTTAATGAGCTACTCAGTTGTTAGTAGGCATACGTAAGGGAATATTCATATTTTATATATTCAGAAATTATCCGCGCCCGCTACAATAAATTGAGCGCTGTGAGAGTATTACGACATTCAGTTAGCGTCACGTCCACTTTCTCCCCGGTTCGAACTACGTTGTATTACCAAGACACGAATGTGTGTTTTGATCTTTAACGCTAACTATGGTCTGGGCTCTATTCAATCATCCGTGTAATCAGAAAATTCTGATAAGGAAAATGAAAGAAAGGAATAGGTAAACTGCGATGTGTAAGACTAATACCTGGGTACGGGGCTCATCTGCTCTTTCAAAAAATCTGAACAATTTCTGATCAAAATTATCAGGAACGAAATTACTGCCGTTTTATATCTATGGCAAGAAGACAACTAAAATAATAAACTAATAAAATTAAGTACCTCTCATCTGTTCTCTTAAAAAACCCCCACCGGGATATGACGCCAGATCCAGAAGACCACACAGGCCATGACCAACCAACATAACAACCACCCCCACCCCCCTCAGCTAACGGATTAGTGCCCAGCCTTTAACCTTACCTTTCTCTCCCCTACACAAAAACCACGCTTGTCCCAGCTCCCTTTCCCCTACCCCTCCCACACTACTGCTTTCACTTGTATACTTGCCCTTCCCCCTTCACCCTCCCTGCTCTCACATAGCGTGTATATTCCCAAACAGTCTGCTTTTACCGGTTTTTACGGTCTCTTCGCTTGCAGAATTCTTATATTTTCTTCTACCCTGAAGATGGAGGCGATACATTCCTCCGAAACGTCGGTTAACACCACTTATACACGGTGCCAAATCCCAAAAGACTGCTTTCTTCATTGTCACCGCCGTGAAAGCCTTAAAATCTTACATAATAAAATAAAATTTATAATAATACATTTTTCAAAAGTAACCCCAGAAATGTAATTGCGAGTAGACAGCAACAGTGATAAAAGTCTCTATATGAAGAAAAATAAACCTCATTTCCTTTAACGCTGTTTCGAATTTCCTGAAGCAGGGAACTGTGAGCTGTTGTCCATAATTAGTACTTCAAACACTACGCCAGTTCCTACTTTCTAGACTAAATACATATTTGATACGTCAAGGTAATACAAGGAATTTCTTAATACTGTTGTTTTTTTATAAATGAGGAACATAAATATATTTATATGTGTCTACACACTTGAAACTTTGTATCTACTTAGATCTTCACACAAGAATAACAATCAATATAATTCAACGCAAGCCTGTGAATTCTTGTTTATCTTTAGATGCGGATTGAAACACTTTTCAATTTCCTTTACATTACTCGTACTGCCATGGTTTCGGCGTTACAGACAATATTCAGAAAGATACTTATACAATATTATTGTTATTGATTATAAAATGAATCAGAAAGTCAAACGAAGTCTGTTGATATAAATAACTGTTGTGAATTTCTGCTTGTCATGTCGCAAAATCATCTCGCTGAAGGGATCTAGTAACCTCATTCGCCGAGCTCTAGTTACAAATGGCCTCTAATTAATCATCTTATTGTTCTTTTTATGAGTAACTATACTCAGAAAGATGAAAGACAGGCTCAGTATTTATTAATCAACCACTGCTTTGTACTTGACACTTCGCCTTCTCTTTGCTGTCGGACAATCTATTAACTATTTACATTTCTGTAAGGTGAAGCCAGCCTCTAGTCCTGTGACCCCGCTACGGCATAATCCTGACCTGAATTCGTATCTTCAGTACACTCGCTGTATCATCATCATCATCATCATCATCACTTCAGCTCTGCCCAGGATTATATTAGATATACATATTGGCAATCAGCTTTTAATACAAGGTAGAAAACTGTCAGTAATATATTTGTTATAGGTTCAATGGCATCATAACACATATTTATTTAAATTAAGAGTTCCCTATATAGACGATCTGTTATGAACGTCAGAGACATGTGATAGCGTCTGCCCACATTCTATTGGCCAACACACATTATAGAGTTGATCAAATGTAGGAAGGCGAGAGAGGCGGGGCATAACGTGCATGGGAGACATGAAAAATGCATATTTTGACGGCTAGGGGGGTGCTGGTGACGAAAATAACGGGTTATAGGTAGGATGAATGGATTTATTGGTGTTCTTTTACAATTATACACATGAAATAACGTCTAAAAAACTTCAGCTGTTCAGCTGCCTTCTGAGTTCTCTTCGGTTGACGGTTTCTCTTCTACTGAATGCCTCACACATAACTGCTCATCTACAAACTGCTCTCTCTTCTTGGTAACGCGATGAATCTTGAAGAGTTTGTAGTCTCTCGAATTCTGAAACTCTCCCACACTTACTTACTTCTCTAGCAAACTCTTCGTGTATTACTACCTTCGGCCGACTGCGTACAAAACACCTAATTAAAGGGCCCAGTTTCTCTCATCTTTTTTTATGTACGCGTTGTCACGGAAATGTGCATTAGCCGTTGCCTAGCAGAATGGGTTGTTCCGTGTCTGGCTCCACTATTTCGGCTTTTGGGCGGTGTTTACCGAGCCTTTGCCTGGCAATGGACGCCTGGCTCCTACTCCACTATTGCGGCTTTCAGGCGTCATATCAAATTATATAGAATTCATACGGAAAGAATGAACGAAATATGGAAGATGACGGCATTGATTGCGGGAGACGGTCATCGTGATTCTGAAACAGGTAGTGGATCATCTGTCTTAAAGCATCTGGTCCAATAACGTGCTGTTATGCTCAAGTTAATGAACCGTTTAGCGATGTGAACGGCCCGGAACTTCGTGAGCGGCTGAGTGATTATTAGCTGCTGAAAGAAGAACTCTGTTCCATAGGACTGCTTATCTGTTAGGTGCATGTTTGCAATTCCAGTTTCTGTCTTTTCTGTCTGAAACGAAGCTACAAATTAACTTTAAAAAACGCAGACTAATTTTCTTTAATATATTTGTACCACTTCATATTACGTATGTAAAATTTGAAGTTTTGGCGGCGGGGACTATGAATAATGCCGTCTTCTGGGACGTAGCACCGTGTAGATCTTGTGTGAACCGACCTTTCGAAGGAACATATCGTCTCCATCTTCAGGGTAGAAAAATTCGCGAGCGAGGAACCAGCATGTATACGTGGCTGCAGCAATCAAGATCTAAACGGTGCCACATCCCAGAAGACAGCAACTCTTCAACTCAGTGAGTGTACTCACTCACTCATTCATGGAGCTGTGCCCTTTTTGAGAAGCTGCCACTTGTGCAGCTACTCAAGAACGTCACATTTTATGGAACCCGAAGTTTCTTTACCGTGCTCACAAGAGCCCTCCACTAGCCCCTATCCTGAGCCAGATCAATCCAATTCATCCCATCCTATTTCTCTAAGATCCATTTTAATATTGTCCACCCACCTACGTCTTTGTTTCCCAGTGGTCTCTTTCCTTCTGTCTTTCCCACAGATATTCTATATGCATTCCTCTTCTCCCCATTAATGCTACATGCGCTGCCCATCTCATCATCCTTGACATGATCATTCTAATTATACTTGGCGAAGAGTACAAGTTACGAAGCTTCTCATTATGCAGTTTTCTCGAAACTCCTGTCACTTCATCTCTCTTTGGTCCAGACATTCTCCTCAACACCCTGTTCTCAAACACCCTCAGTCTATGTTCCTCCCTTAATGTCAGAGACCAAGTTTCAGACCCATTCAGAAACACAGTGTACATGAAAAGGAATAAAATTATTGATGTCATTTAAGGTTACATTAACGACGTTTCAGGAAAGAACATTAGCTAATTAATTACTCAAGAGGACAGTAATAATGAAGACTTAGTGCTCGGAGTGAAGTGCTTATAGCAGTTTGTGTATGTTTTCAGATGTCCCAATGGTGACCCTTAAGATGGGTTCCAGCCTCAATCCAGATGACATTAAGGAGGGTGATGACGTTTATTTTGAGTGCAACATCCGAGCCAATCCCAAGGCTTATAGATTAGCCTGGTTCCACAATGTAAGTACGAACAATTCTTTCTATGATAACCTCAATAGTAATCTATAAAGGAGAGGACCCACAAAAATTAGCGATTCATACGTCTTCTGTAACAGAAACACAAAACGCATTGCTTCTCGCTGAATAAAGCAGACACTTGTAGATTGCCATGTTTCGTTTTTTTAATTTTCTCCGAAGTGTATGGCATTCTTTGTCTATGCATGTAACATTAAACTATATATATATATATATATATATTTCTTCTGTTTGGAATGTACTTTTAGCCTTAATACTAAAATTAATGATTTGATTTTTTCTCTGGATTTATATTTCAAGGTGACAGTTGGTAGTGCGGTCATTAAAATATTAATTTCGACATATATGGTCGCATATCATCATAATCGCACTCTGCAAGTATTACCGTTAGCCCACGTATGGAGTTGTACACATACGTTCCAATGTTTATACACCTGAACTTTTTTTGTTTTTGTTTTGCAAGGTAAGGTGTTAAATGATTAAAGACAAGCGATTGATTGTGTTAAATCGAGATTTTACTTTGTGACTATATAAATGCTATGAAGTTCGAAATATAAAGAAAATCCCATCATCCTCTTATATATAGGCAGAGACCTTTGACACAGTTTATAAAATTCTTCTCAGATTATCTGTGCAAATAGCTGGCTTCCCACCGCGGCGGCCCAGGTTCGATCCCAGGTCTGGTCAAGTGGGATTTGTGGTGAATAAAGTGGCGCTGGGGCAGGTTTTCTCCGAGTACTTCGGTTTCCCTTGCCAATCTTCATTCCACCAATTGCTCCACAATCACCCTCACCTATCATCTGGGGCTGGTACAATAGGCCAGAAGTGGCCGCAGTACAAGGGACTTAGTCCCACCCCACTAGCAATAAAAAATAATTATAAATTGTATTAGATTTTGTGAAAAAAAAATGGTACCATACTAAAGGTAACCACTGTTACCAAGTTTGCATCTTGAGTTGTATACTCCAAATTGTCTTCGTCTTCCTCCAGGGAACATTTTACTCTAAGAATGTGAAACCGCTGCAAAATCGGGAATATAAGGTCTGAACGAGGAGTTCTTAGACCTGTAACAATCGAACTGCCGTTATGGAGAGAGTCACCGCTCCTTCTGAGTATGTCACACGTAACTATCATCGTGGGCTTAACGAGACGCACTAAATGATCATGAAGAATCCAGTTAACATAATGCGAAATGCATGTTCCATTGGCCACTTAAAATTGAACTTGAATACGCGGGAGTTAATTTGACGATACTGCTCAAGGAATGGTACAGGCTGGACGAGACCTCACTTATACTCGAGAAGGCCACCTCCACCAGAGTCCACTTGACCAAGCCCACAGCATTTTCGGTTTCTGGAGAGCCACTTCCCTTCTGACAGTATTGTTAAGCCGTTGAAAGCTCTGCCGGTTTTGAAACGTATCATTGGTTCCGAAGCACTCTTTGCCTGACAAATGCCTGGGTTAAGAATGCTCTAACAGTTTGACGTGGGGGACCCCGTATATGATAACTACAGTTAGGTAAAAAAAAAAAGCCATTGATGTGCATTATAAATTGTAAGTCTACTGAATAAACTGAATCCAAAACTCAGCTGAAAGTTCAAGAATTCTCTGTTATAAAGGCAGTTTCAAATTTTGTTTCCCAGACAGCTCGAACTGTAAGTTTATTTAACAGTGGCGCGTCTCTGCATGGGTAATGTAGGCAGGCATCTTCACATGAATGTCATGATATATTATGCAAAGAACGTAGTTTCTGCACCTCAGAGAATACAGTACATACCACTAATTTGACCTTATTTACTTCAGTAACGTAACATTCCTGGACAACAGTTTCTATTTTCACCCGAACAAAATAAATCTCACTTCCATGATTTATTTAATCCGTCTTGCAGTGCATACACTCATTTATCTCCTTCTTTCCCTCGCACTACATGTTTCGGCATAATAATGCCATCTTCAGGTGCTTACTTGTCCACGTCAAACCAGTTCATTGCATGCAAGTGTCCTGGTTTCGTCTGCGGGCACGCCGACTCGAGTTCTTGAATGCTGAGTGATGCAAGTCTCACGTGGTCATGGTGACATTCGTTAACAAATTTAAGAGTCTTGCCTTATTCTAAGTTACTCACACAGTATTTCCTAATGTTCATTGGCAAAATTCGTCATACCCCTTAGATATACAGAGTGTAAAAGGCCGCGCCATAGCTCAAGCGGTTAGTCGCTCACTTCCCACCGCGGCGGCCCGGGTTCGATCACGGGTCTGTCCAAGTGGGATTTGTGGTGGACAAAGTGGCGCTGGGGCGAGTTTTCTCAGAGTACTTCGGTTTCCCCTCCCAATCTTCATTCCACCAAATTCTCAACCATCATAATCACCTGGGGCAGGCTACAATAGGCCAATCAGTGGCCGCCATGCCGAGTGGACCCAGTTTGACTCCCCCCCCCACCACTAATCGAATTTAAAACGAAATTACAGAGTGTTACGACGCTCTATGGTAGATAGATGGGTTCAATCTGATCATATTTTGTTAATATACCCATGTCCGGAAATGCTTTGTTTACGCGCTATGGCCTCTGGAATGCGAAGGAGGGCGCCTGTAAGCAAGCAACCCATAGGACTCCGAAGTAGCAGAAGACGTCACATTCATAGGATGAGTTATTTACCTGATGTTCGCTTTCTAAAAAGCCGAAACATATAGCAAAATACTGTTGAGCATCAACCGTTTAGTTATTGTGTTGTGACGGATTGTAATAAAGACATTTATATAGGACGAGTTGTTTATTTACCAATGCAAGTGCATCCGGTGTCACGTGATACAATCCCTGACCATACGCAGAATTTGTTCTGTAGTTTCTTCTTCGTATGCGTGGCGATCGTAAATTGGGAATGAACTATGGCGGACATGTATCACAACTTGAACTGTTCCGCTTGCTTGTGCAATTATTGCCTCTGTCGCAGTAAATTAGTAGTTTCAATAATTCAGTAGTTTTCTGTGTGAAAATTTCTGTTGATGGAAGAGTAGTGCATTTAGTATTTTAATAAATAATTCCAAATGAGCCGAAATTTTGATGTAGTGGTTCCATAAGTACTGGAACTCAGCCGTTGGTTTTCTTTGTTCTTTATTTAAAGTTAGTCAAACAGTATTTTTTATGTGTAGCGATAAATTCGTCCTACGGCTTAGATATATAAAGACGAAGGATTGTTTTACTTACGTCTTACTTATGGAGCTGAGCCCTTCTTGAGGAGCCAAATCTGCAGCTAATCAAGAATTTCCCACCATTTTATGGAGCTCGAAGTTTCATTACCGTCTTCACAAGAGCCCTCCATTTGTCCCTATCTTGAGCAAGACCAATCCAATCCATACCATCTCATCCTATCTCTCTAAGATCCATTTTAATATTGTCCACCCACCTACGCCTTGGTCTTCCCAGTGGTCTCTTTCCTTCTTGTTTTCCCACCAATATTCTATATGCATTCCTTTCCGCCACAATTCGTGCTACATGCCCTGCCCATCTCATCCTCTTTGACATGATTATTCTAATTATACTTGGAGAAGAGTACAAGTTATGGAGCTCCTCATTATGCAGTTTTCTCCAACTTCCTGTCACTTTATCCCTCTTCGGTCCAAATATTCTCCTCAACACCTTGTTCTTCCCTTAATGTCAGAGACTAAGTTTCATATCCATACAGAACCACAGGAAAAATTATAGCTTTGTATATTCTAATTCTGGATTGACATTACCCGAGTTCAATCTCCTCTTAATTTGCTCCTGAATCAGGTTTTGATTTGTTATCGTCGTTCCCAAATATCTGAACTATGCCACACAAACAGAAAATCTGTTTTCTATCGTTATGTCGTGATTTTGCCCTGCATTTAGGATTGCTTGAGCTTCTAAATATAAATATATAGAAAGTAAACGGTGTGGTAATTTTATGACGTATTTTATGTGTTTCGTAAGTAGTTCCATTACTTACAAGTACACAAATAGATAAAGAAATGTATTTATTGTTTTAATAATATTTTTAAAATACTGGAGCTAAGGCGTTGGTTTCTTTGAACGATAAAAACGTTGGCTGCAAAGAATGCCAATGCTGTGCCATGTCTGTTGAGATCTGTTGAAGTGATGTGCGGCGTTCTTTGCTCTCAGGGTCATGAAATCCACCACAACGTGACTGCGGGGGTCATTTTGAGTGACCACAGTCTGGTACTGCAGGGCGTCACCCGTCACACAGCGGGGGACTATACGTGTCTCGCTGCCAACACCGAAGGAAAGGGCACCAGTAACCCCGCCACTCTGCGAGTTATGTGTAAGTATCCATTGCTTTCTAACGCTTGCAGTCAGCCACTCTGTAAGATCTATATCCTCTACGGTCAGAGTATCGAGTTGAATATTGCTGAAACTGAAAGAACCATATTTCATCTTTACTCAAATATTTTATTCATTTTTTCCTTGGAGTGGGGTGAGACTGAGTCCACTTGGTACGTAGGTCAATAATTGGCCTATTGAATCAGCCCCAGATGATAAATGATGAATGTAGAGCAGTCGGTGGAATGAGAAATGGCAGGAGAAACCGAAGTACTAGGAGAAAACTTGTCGCAGTTTCACTTTTTCCACCACAAATCCCATATCACCTCACCTGGGCTCGAACCCACGCCTTAGCTATGGCACGGCCTATTTGAATCTTAGTGCATGCTTTCTGTACATGGAGTAGACTAGCTTCTTCCTTCTTGTGTGTTGTTACTCTTCATCCCTGATTGTAGAATCGGTATGTTCCTCCGAAACGTCTGTGAATTTCTACCAGATTACACTGTGTCACATATCAGATAGCAGCGATTTTTATAGCCTGCGCTGTGAAATTCTTAGATCCAGCGTGTGGACATTATTGAGCTGCTGATCAAATGAATATCATCAGGGTACAGAGGACTTTGTATAAATGTCGGATTGCCCTTAGCCGAACTGAGTGTCTAATAAACTATGTTTGTTGCGATATTTACTGACCAGTCAAGTGTAAAGTGTATGATTTACATTCAGTGTTAGAAATATTGTCTGAGTGCTTAGTCCGAGACAATATATTCTCTTTCTGTTAATCTTTCCACTTTAATATTTATTGCCACGGTGATGACGACAAAAACAAACACCGTGTCTTTAGTCTGCAAGCGAACTATACCGACCGAGCGACCGCCGCTTGTCGTCGAAGTTAGTGCCAACTTTAGCGGATAGAGGGTGTCGCGTCAGCACAACGAATCCCCACGGTTTTTAATTTCGGTTTTCTAGACCGGAGCCGCTACTTTTCCATTCAAGCAGCTCCTCAATTGGCAATGTTTATTTATGTCATTCTACTTAACCGCTGTAGTAATTTAGCTGAGTCAGCCATTATTTATAAAACACTTCACGTTATGTAATACACATTTCCTGTTCCTGTAAGTCTGTTGCGAATCGTGTATTCTGCAGTGTAATGATACATTGATGAGGAAGTAAATGTAACGACAGTGCCAGTATTTTACAATGCCTATTGTGTCTTGTTAATTTAATGAGAGAAGTAGGGGCTTGTTTGTTAAATTATTTAGGCCAATCCGCCATTAGTTAATCGATATGAAGTATATCAATATTGCTTTATGGCGAATATTCCAATTCCAGAAAATGTTTTATTGATTTAGTTACGATATATGCATATAATTCTGGTGAATAATGCACGCTGTTCTATAAAATTCGGAATATTTAGAGTCATTTGTAAGTTTACGTGACAGCGGACCATGGCGTTGTAGATCCGTAATAGCCATTTTGACATTATGTCCAAACCTTGTGTGTAACCAGTTAACCACAGTGACGTCATGTAAGTAATGCCTCGTAAAAGTAGTAATTTAGCTGGCAGAAGTTCCTCCCTTCTCCTATAGAGATAACGCCACTCCTTCATGTGAATGTAATTCCCTCCCCCCTACAGTGACATTCCCGACCCATAACAAACAGCTGACGAATATTCCACGTGACTTTCATATTCCCAGTTTCACCCGAGGCACAGATCTGGAAATGACAGGAGAGTATGGTGTCAGTAAAATAGATGGGTTTAGTGACGTATTATTGTTACATACACAAAAGTAAATATGATTTCCGGTTCAGCTTGTGCTAAGTCCAAGGTCTTAATATTCTTGGCGTGGCGGGCGATATGGCTGAGGTTTTCTTTTCAGAGCTTTGTGACTCATGAAGCAAAAGTAGTCAAATTGTATAGTAAGCCACATTTGCCTTCATCCACAATCGTCTTATTTAATTAAATTCTTTCATCCTCACCTCCCAACAGCTTTGCAGGAAGTTAAAATACGGTCAGCTGCTTAGAAACGTCGGGAAATCTGGTTAAATCAAATGTGTTCTATGTCGTGTACAAACGCAAAATTATCTCTGTTCTTAATTGTATAATTAAGCGATATGTCGTGACAGCATAAGGGGGGGGTGGAGGTATAGCTTCATCATTTTTTACCTTGGCACCAAATGGCGGTGAGTGGTCATCTTCATCTCCTGCTACTTTTGCACAGGGCAAAAGGCCGGTACACGTTGGATATGAGGCTGGATGGGCCTCAGAGGCGGTATGGATGTTATGGAAAAGAGAAAAATTTCCGCCCACCGGGAAGCGAACCGCAGTCAACCAGTCAGTAGCCTAGTTACTGTTATGTGGGGCTATTTATATTTTAATTTTCCTCCACAGTGTAGACCGCCCACACAGACAGCAAAGTCTTCCGCAAGGAAAGAAAGTGTTACCCAACCATTACCTTTCTTTTGTACTGCTTGGAGTTGGAAGGTGTGGTAAACCTCTGTTATGTCGTGATATCAGTGGGATTTTGCGATGGCTCAGAGCAGGAAATGCAGTAAGCTTCTCTGTGATAGTAGACCCTTCAGACAACGTTACTTCATGAGATTAATTACTCCATTACATTTGTCACAAAACCTATAGACGGTAAAATATTTAAATCGTGAAAAAGACGAATTTTGGATTATGACTAGAGATGTTACGAAATTTGGAACTTAAAAATAACATTTTCTGGAAAAGGTATGGGGGTGTTACAGATTCCAGTCACGGATCTGCCCCCCCTCCCCTTCTCTTCTTCCTCTTTCTCTCTCTGTGACGTCATAATACATTCACATTGAAAGTCCGTTCCGCAACGTTATATAGGACAAGCGACTCGTCCGTTGGTCACGCAGTCTGCAGTCCTAACAGGCGCAATTCAAAGTGTCTCGAACTGCGCGTGCTTGTAGTGACGTCCGATAGGGGCGTAGCTATTGCCGTTGGTCAGTACTGAACTATTAATTTTTCTACAAGTACAAAAGGGACGATCCACGGACCCATATAAAATGGGTATAGATTGTGCGAACGAAACGGAGACCGGAGAACGCCCGAAATCCTTTAATGTGTAAGATATCAACGAAATGGAGAGTCCATTCACTTTCGGTCGCCTTCGGTCTATTTCGCTGTCACATGGCGAAAAACTTCGTGCATGGTATGGAAAGCAGACATTGAAAAGATCGTCGTTCGAGTGTATTATTCTCGTTCAGTAAATTCCTTTTGAAGCAGGGATAGCGCAGTCAGTATAGCGACTGGCTACAGGCTGGACAACCGAGTTGTCTGAGTTCGAGTCCCAGTGTGGCCAAGAATTTTCTCATCTCCAATAGTTCACACTGTCTCTGAGGTCCACCCAACATCCAACTAAATGGGTACCTGTGGCTCTTTCCCTGGGGGTAAAGCGGTAGGGGCTCGAAGCTGACCACTCACTTCCAACTAGTGCCGAGGTCAAGGAAATGTGGATCTTTACATCCACTTCCCCGTACGTGTTCATGGCGTAGTGCTTAATTAGTTGAGTACAGGAACAGCTTTACCTTTGCCTTTTTATTTATTCACGTCCTGTTTCTATCATGGAGTGAGTGGTGAAATGATATTGTAGAAGTGTTTGTATAAGAATGCAGCGAAAGAAATTGTTTATGGGACCCGACAAATTCATTTTATAAACTTCTCTCCGACAAGAAAGACGCTTGGGAAGAAGTCGGCCAACTGCTTTGTCGCGATTCATCGGAGGCTAAGATAAATGGATTTGCTGTTGTCATCGTTCAGGCGTGAACGGCAAAAACAGGAAACGAAAAACTCCTGAGCTGGTACACAGAAGCCTGTAAGTCAGCCTCAAGATTCAGCTGTGTTATCAAACTGGATGCAACACCGAATTTGGCCGAGCGTTCGTTGCGGTGTAGACGAGCCACTAAACAGCGAAAAAATATTTGAGAAAGTTAGGACATTTGTGTTTTTTCGCTATCATTCGAATAGTATATAAACATCTTAAGAAACCGAAGATCTTTCGGAGCGTAATAATAGCGTACAAAACATAATAGCTGGCCTTTAATTTGATTCAAAATCAAGGTCATTACATTTCGATTGTTTGATTATTCTGAAATATCTTACAAGACATAACGTCTTGCATGGTACCACAGATTATACACACTCCTATCTATTGTTTAGGACTCGCGGTAGCGTAGTTCATCGAGGCACTATGCTACAAGCTGGAAGGTCGCGGTTTCGAGTTCCGATGAGGTGGATTTTTTTCAATTGACGTAATCCTTCCAGCCGCACTATGGCGTTAGGGTTGACGTACCCTCTTACATAAATGAGCACCAGGAATCTTCTTGGGGGTAAATGGCGGCCGGCGTGTAAGACTGACAACCTTACCGCCATCTGTGAGCCGATTGTCTAGACAATGTGGGACCCTCAACGTCTCACAACCCTGTGGGCCTTCACGGCCTATTACAGCGATAGATTTACTTTCTACCTTACCTTTACCCGTCCATTGATTCATCTAGCCACATTCCATGTCTCGAAATCCATGGAACAGATTTAGATTAAACTTGATACAAGAGGCTATGTTGTAATATTCTGTCGGTTCTGATATTATTTCACCTCAGCCCACTTTATGAGTCGGTACAGTGAGAGGCTACGAGCTGGAAGGCAGAATTCTGATTCCCGGCAGGGCAAGATTTTTCTCTTCTCCTCAGCGTCCGGACAGATTCTGGGGCCAACCCAGCCTCATATCCAATGGATGCGGGTGGCAACTTCCCTGGGTAAAGCGGCCGGAGCGCGAAGTTGACCACCTCTAAGTAGTGGCGAGGTCAAGAATGGAGAAGCTATTGCTCCATTCCTCCATATGTCGTCATGATATAGTGCTTAATTAATTGAGCACAGGAAGAACTTTACACATTCCTGCCAGTACAAAAACAACTGTTTCTTGAGGCGTATATTTATTCTTTTACGTTTCTCGAAATCACCTCATTACACGG